GGAGATGCCCTGTCCGTCTCGTACGCGTATGAGATTGAGTACACATGCAACATCAGCTTGTTCAAATTACAATTAACTGGAAAGACCGAACACATCATCATTTCAAAAGATCCTCTTTTTAACATGCAAGTCAAAACTATACAACATGATTACTAAGCTTTTTTATAGTCTTTCTGTGTAATTACGTTTCTTCAACATAGAAAAGGATGGAACAACCAGGCTTTCATGGTATGTGTACAGATTATCAGTACATGAATAGTGAAGGATTGGAATATATTTTCTATCAAACTTCTCAAGGTTCGTATATAAACTGATATTGCCACACAGGAGCGATTTAAATAAGCTTTCAACCCGTCCATATAGCATGGGCTCTTTACTTAACACAAGGACGTAGCGATGGGGGGGGGGGGGGGGGGGGGTGTTGGTAAAATTCAAGTTTAAATTTTGACATTTTCAGGTACTGAAAATTTGCGTAAGAAAGTCGTAATTTTTGTGAAATGATAACCATTTTTGTAAAATACAGTCATTTTAGATCCAATTCGTTTGCGAATTTGCTTTAGAAAACGCCAGAAATGCAGTCCTGGAGCTTCAAAAATGTAAACATTGTTTGGGGGTTGGACCCCCAGATCCCCCTTTTTTTCGGAAAATGACAGTGGAAATCAATCAGAAAAGGCTCTATTATAATTATTAAACTTCAGGTAAACTTTTAACACTGAAGTTCAAATTTCAGGAAAAATCCTCCAACACTCCCCCCCCCCCCAACTTCAGATGCTTCGCTACGTCCCTGACTTAACATTTAGCATAACAATAGTTCCACCCACTCACGATAATTAAAATTCCTTGCCGAGGTCCTTGCTTTCACCATCATGCATATATTGCTAAATAGATTGCATGTAAACTTATAACGATATTACATTATATTTAAAAAAAATTCATGCATATGTTTCTTAGATTTGTTCCAATTACCGTAGACGTAGTTGGAATCTTATGTGAGCGAAAAAATTCCAGTTAATTTAATTATTAAAAAGATTCTTCTTTTCCAACAGAGTTGTACAAGTTTTCCGACTTATTTTGTTCTCTGGATGAAGACGACATTGAAGCCAATAAGACAATAGAGGAACTTTTGGGGCCCAAATGTCACGTGTGACAAATGTACTTTCTAATCATCTTTGGCTTCTTGATACTGAATACCACGAACTAAAAACAAAAAGATGTTACGTGAAAATGCTTTTGAACAGCATGTTTATAACAGTAAGCATAAAATATTCAAAGAAATGAATTGATTAAATTCTATCGAGTAGCTCAAAATTAAAGCAAAAATGTAATTTTTAAAATATCTATAATCACATGTACTGGGTTGAACTCGCCATTGTGACACCTTTCCTCAAATATGTACAAAAACAAAATTGTTGCCCTTCTCAACTCGATTGAAATCAGTGATTTGTGAATAGTAAAAAGGTATACGTAGATCACTTTGTATATCCATACCAGAATAAACCGAGTTGACCCATTTTCCTCCGCAAGAGTTGAAAATGTCATCTGTTGTACTTTGTATCTGAACACCGATAGGTTGAAGACATTTTAGATCACAATGTTTATCTGATACACGACCATAACGACCATATTTATTACCACAGAAACATAAATTTCCATTCTGTAATCCAGCGTATATAAAACCCGACTCAGCACAGTTTAAAACACATGATAAAGCATCACCACGGTTATGTGTGCGTGTTTGAGGACGGAATGGAAGGTCTCTTCCTTTTTCTTTGTCATCACGATAACATCCAATATAATCTAACATAAAGTAAACTATCTGTATTAGGTTATATTAGTTGTTTGTCGCTTAGCCCTACCAAAGAAGTAGTTTACTGAAAAGAGACATTAGTTTCATACAACGTTGTGCAGTAACATACGACTATTTCAAGGTGACCCAAATTTGAACACCCGTTATACATTTGCATAAGAAAAGCGCGATCTACTGCGAGATTACATTAATTCTCTTGAAAAAACTAATAGAAGTTCCAATAGTAGATACTCATCCATTAAATATATATTACATGCAATTATTGTAGTATTGTACTACAATGGTGAAGTTCCGCAAATTGTGGCAGCAAGAAAGTTAATTTAATATGCGTCACAATACCACATAATTTTACAAAACGTCTTGGTAACTTCGCTCCCAACGACAATAACAAAATTTTAATGTACAAATTCCCATCAAAAACCATTACTCAAAAAGCTGAACTGTGTCTTTAATTACTTACCATTACTAGGCAGATATCTGCTGGCAAATATTCCTAGATAATAGATAGAAGTGCACCTGTTATGACCCTCTGCCAAAATATCATAGACTGCATGCATGAAATTCACGTGCTATAGTGGCTACATGTACTCCACGATGTAGGCTACAGAGTTCACGAAAACGTCAGTTTTAATTGTCCGATACACACTTCCTATTTTGACACGTAAAAAGAAAAATCTGGACTTATTACAATGAGAAACCTGCTGTTTGCTGTAAACGTGAATGTTAAGGTCTCCAATACTTTGGGACAAATTCAAATGAACAAGACAGTGGACATACCTGTTATCCAAATGATCAGTAGAGAGACGGCTGTAAAATATTTAAACAATTAATAAGAATAAATACAATATTATTCTGTTCGCTTGCAATAAAACAACCAAAAAATACAATAATAAAACAATCTTTACATACCTTTATACATGCTTGCCAAGCTTATCAAAGCAGTTTATAAACTCTGTTATAACACCGCCATGTTGTTTAGCACGATATATATAGAAGTACCTGCTATAATAAAATAACAAAAAGATACTTAAAATTCGATACCTGCAAATCGAACTACAGCATAAATGTAACTACAATATCTAGACAAGAAACTAACTTATATTTACCTTTTATATGCAAGCCTTGTCACATAATTGCATTCCCAGATTGACTCTCTGTATGGAGGTTTATATTGTCAACGGGCATAACAAGCGTGTTGTACAGTCAAAAATATAACGGTAAAACAAGTTTGAATAAACCATCAGTATTTGATAAGCAAGCAAGGTTTGCCTTCATGAATATCTTCACATACTGTTTATCATTACTTTTGTTTAGTTTACACTGCCACAGTCCCTCAGGCAAATGTCTGACATACAATGAGCCATAACAATCCTCTACATTTATATTTCTTGAAAAATTTATATTTATTTGTTAATTTTGAAAAGAGAACAAAACTTTTTATAAAGATTTATATATACTTTTTGTACATATCTGGCAACCAGGGAGTGCTATCAAGTCTATGTACAGTACAATTTTTCATGTTGCAAAATCAATAAAAAATTTATGATTTCTTTGCCAAACCATTTATAGAAGCAAAAGCTCATACATATATAATGCACCAAAACGAATACTGTCGACGGAAACAGTTAAACGAACTATATACGTTTCCTAATGAGTTCTCGATCTTTGGCACCATGCCATTCATACATTTTCTCACAATTCATTTTGCATAATGAAAATTTGTATATGCCAGACCTATCAGTATTTATCAAACTCCCAACTGCCATTCAATAAATATCATAATATCAGATGAATTTACTCTAAAACGCAATTTGTCCAACTGATATTACCCTCCATACCTAATAAACTGTACATCATGTCTGAACATAACCTGGATTGATATCGAACATTGCGTCGCTATGGGATACAATTCACCACTGCTGCAGTGGGTATGTACTAATGATTTACCAAGTTTACAGCATGTTATCCATTCTACATTTTGGGATGATTATTGAACCATTCCACGAATTCGTCCAACATTACAGGCCCTGAAAGACAGAGAAAGTTTAACGACTCTCTAGTTGTAGCGTAGCGTAGCGCTAGATACTATGCTATCGAGTTGTGTGTGCGTTAAACACTCAGGTCGACTAATTAGGGATGTACGCCTGCGAACAGGCAGTAAAACAAATATGGCGGCTTTCTCGCAGATACATGTACGCCAAGCGTACCTATTTTTTATGTTAAGCACGGATCAAGTTAAGATCCGTGGATGAGAGTGCACGAGACAATGACAATCACGCGATCTTGGTTAGCTGTTCTTAATGCTTTTCCAACACGATCGTGTATTGTTGGAACTAGGAACACTTATTAAACCTTTATTTTGTTAATCCGGACCTTGAACCTCCCCCGGTGACAATTCGTGACTGCCAACTCTCATTAATTCACATTCTCGTTTGACCGGGGCTTTCAGCATGTATTCTCACGCCAAGTGATAGATTGCAACCGTCAATAATGGAATGATTTAGAAAAGTACTGTTTTAACCTTTTTGGAGTAGTAGTAAAGGAGTAGTAGTAAAGGAGTAGTAGTAGTAAAGGAGTAGTAGTAGTAAAGGAGTAGTAGTAGTAAAGGAGTAGTAGTAGTAAAGGAGTAGTAGTAGTAAAGGAGTAGTAGTAGTAAAGGAGTAGTAGTAAAGGAGTAGTAGTAGTAAAGGAGTAGTAGTAGTAAAGGAGTAGTAGTAGTAAAGGAGTAGTAGTAGTAAAGGAGTAGTAGTAGTAAAGGAGTAGTAGTAGTAAAGGAGTAGTAGTAGTAAAGGAGTAGTAGTAGTAAAGGAGGAGTAGTAGTAAAGGAGTAGTAGTAGTAAAGGAGGAGTAGTAGTAAAGGAGGAGTAGTAGTAAAGGAGTAGTAGTAAAGGAGTAGTAGTAAAGGAGTAGTAGTAAAGGAGTAGTAGTAAAGGAGTAGTAGTAAAGGAGTAGTAGTAAAGGAGTAGTAGTAAAGGAGTAGTAGTAAAGGAATACCAAATGGTTTTCCGTGCAGGGCAGCGTCATCCATGCACGAAAGAATGGCACGAAGGATGTTGAGAGACTTTTGGCAAGCGTAAAAAAAAAACACGAGCGCCAAGCGTAAAAAAACACGAGCTGCAGGCGAGTGTTTTTTACGCTCTCGGAAAGTCGAGCAAACCACTTGCTAACTATTAACTTCATAGGTTAAAATGTTTTCATTGTCCGACATTTTGAAAAAGCCCAAGCAAATGCATTTAAATTTATCTGATCTTTCACGGGTATTGACCAATCAAATTGTGTGTTTAATTGTAGTTACTATATATAACCTTGTTGATAAGAATTTTTAATTTTTGAAGTTACCTGTAGCATATACATTGTGGTTTTACAGTGGTCAGTTTTGTCACTTCACGACAGTCACAACATTTGAAAGCTCGTTTGACCTTTTATTTTGGAATTTTAGAAATCCTATTACAGTACTTTTAGTGAGATACAAGAAAAAACAAAGTCATATACTGTGGTGTATACATGCATGCATGAATTCAGCGATCTGTGGTTTAACATCTCTATTTAATAATATATCTTTTCTCGTTATGAATGTAAAGCTACTTAAAATTCTCTGCCTCTTACTCTCCAAACAAAATTTGAACATTCTTTTCACAAGATCACTCGTTGCCAAGACAAAATTATGGTGCAGTCTATCAACTTACATGCTCCATCGACGTCATAATTTGATAAATCAGATTTTACTGTTCTACAGAACTCCAGTACGTTACACCACTGATCTTTATTGATTACTTTGTAATCAGATTGCTGAAAGACAAAAAACAATGCATTGAACTGCAGGGTGCGATAATTTCATATTTTTAGTAGTATCTGACATAATTGTTTTTGTTTGTGGAAACACCACGTAAATTTATATTTTGTATTTTTTGTTTCCACAAACAAAAACAATTATATTTTATCGCCATGCAAACATTCAAAGAACTTAGTATCTGACATGTACGCCAGGTATCGCCGCGTACTTGCGCTAGTACACACCGTACACACTCAATGTGTACTTAGTTTTTAAAATAAAGTACAAGTTCTGTGAGGTTCCTGAAAGTATATTCAAACTACGAGTTGGAACAAGAAGTACAATTGCGTATACAAACAATCAACTCCAACGTTTTTTATTCTTATTTATTTGGCTTTGCCAACTAGAGCAGGGTCACTACAACAGCATATGCCAATTACTGTGAGCCCTTTTTACCTAACCCACTCTGTCAACTTTCCCTGTGGGAGGAAACCGGCGTACCCGGAGAAAACATGCGACTTTCGGCAGAGCATTGACTTTTTGCTCTTTCACATGAGGACTGGAGTCGTATTGAGAAAGAGATTTGAACCTGCGACCTTAGAGGTGAAAGGCAAGTGCGCTAACCACTTCGCCACCGAAGCCCCTTATTGCCATCTTAGTTATTCTTATTGCCAAGTTTCTTAGTGTCATCTTAGTTATTCTTAGTGCCCAGTTTCTTAGTGCCATCTTAGTTATTCTTAGTGCCAAGTTTCTTAGTGTCATCAGTCCAATCATGCATGTTTCATGCCGACACATGTTAGACCTACTAAATTACGGTATTGAATATTTTTGGCTTGGAAAGGTCGTACGGTACCAGCAAAAAGTAAGTACGCAGGTAGCAAGAGTTCCGCGTATATACTGGACCTACTGCATGTACGCGGCTGAAAACAAAGAAGTATCAGACCGTAATTCGTAAATACGCGAATTATCGCACCCTGAAGCCGGTTGTTCAAAAGCCGGTTAGCTTAATCCTAGGTTTACGAAAATCTCAAATCAGTCTTTCCAACAGCCTGTTTAGAAACATGAAGATAGTTTATCACAATTCATGTCTGGATCAATAGAAGTTAGTTTATTTTTCAAAGTTTTGAAATAAAGAAAAGTGCAAACCGTAACAAAAACAAAACAGCCGGTTAAGTTTTAACCCAGGATTAGCGCTAATTCACCTTTGAACAACCGGCCCCTGATTGAAGAATCTCTTAACACACAAATTTCGTGAAATGACGCCACAATAACTTGCACAGTTTTAGTATTTATATTATTTTAGTTTATTAGGTTAAAATTGGAGATTAGTATGTGGATATAGTATACGTCGGGCTATCTCCCGAGTGGGCACCAATAATTTATAGCCGTCTACTTCTTTCAAAAAACCTCCAACTACAAATTCTATAGAGCGTTTGCACATGACGTCACAGCGGCCATGTTGGTGTTCCAATTCAAAATAATTTTAATTAGACTCTTTTGTCTGGAACACCAACATGGCCGCCATGGCTTTTGCTGAGTTGGTCCCTGGGGAATGAGTGTACCTTAAACTACCCATAATCTTCGCATTCCAAATCGTATGACCTGTGTTCTAACCCGTGACGATTCTGAAATTTAGACCTCTGCAACGGCATTTCCAGCAATTTGGAAAGCTGTTTTGGAAATTCTGTCATATATATCATCCAAACATTTAACGAAGAATATCGTGCATGTAGAATTGATGTTATAAAAGCTAGAAACATTATATCATTCTATGGAAAGGAGGAATTTATAATTTTGCAAAATAACCGGCGATTGTCTATGCTTGACGGCGAAAATCGCCGGAACCCGACTATGCAATACTGTATATACTGTTGCCCAGAAAAATGCAGTAACGTGTAAACTATTCATTCTTTTCGCGAGTTCTGAACAATCTCCGTGTTCAAGCTTAATCAAAAGTTCTTTCACGGGCACGTATGAATAGTTGAGGCATTCAGTTCATTAAAATAATCATTTATGACGATAAAAGTGTGGTGGAGTCTAAGGAATCGTAAACTGTGGTTGTTAATATGGAAATTGACAGGAAAAAATGGATGATCTTCATGCTGTTTTGTATAGAAATGAACCGGACCAAGCTGGTATACATACAAACCTCAATAAATTCAACAAAGGGATCTAGGAGTGTCCAAGACTCACTGAGTAAGATCTTTAACATTTCCATTGCCATATCAATATCTAAACTACGTTGATCTTTATTCTGGAGAAAGACAAAAAACATCATGTGTGTAAGTCATTCTGTCTGGCCGCAAAAGTTAGCGTCTAGGCGATAAAAGTTTCATGAAAAGTTTAGTTGTGATATCATTTTGAAGCGAAACGTATTTAATATATAGTCGATATTCATTTTCTATATAGATTTATAGGATTGTAAGTGTGTGGATGAAGTAACTATACGTTTTATTAGTTTACAAATGAAACGTCGTCCAATAAATCTTCTGTAATGAAAATTGAAACGTCGTCCAATCAATCTTCTACTTGAAACCACAGTATAACTGAAACTGCATGAGCTGATTTAAGAAAGGACTGTAAAGTGTATAATTCTAATGACGACATACCCTGCAGAAGTCAAATGCATATCTATACATCTTCTTAAATACAACTGGATCATTAATCAAGCTTTTTAAAGACTTTAACTTGGATTGAAGTTTCTTGGTAGAATCGCATCTAAAACATAACAACTATAACATTACAGATATACGAAAAATACAGTGTAATTGTGAGTAACATATCTATTTCTCTGTATGACATTAAACGGTATTGTTATATATACCAAGTATCAAATATAATTTTCCTGACATTACATTGGACAAAAAATTCATTTCAAACGTATAAAAATACATAAATGTTTACGTACTGTAAAGATCCCATTCCTGTAGACCATTCACTGAACTTAAAAAAACCAAGGTTTTCTGCATTCAACTTCCAAGCAACAACGAGCATTACAATCTAGAACAATTAATGTACTCGTCAGGGGTGGAAAAAGTATCGGACCATGGGACCATTGGTCCCAGAAAATTTTTGAGTTCCCAGAAAATATTTCCAAGAAAGAAAAAAAGATAATTGTAGATATTTAGACAAAGGGAGAAATTCGGAGGAAAAATTCAACCCAGTAGAAAGAGTGTTACCTGTACTGTATGTATGTATGTATGTATGTATGTATGTATGACCTCAAAAATACAATTAGAGGCACATCCATTTTAATAGTGCAATAGTGAATAAATGTATAGACTGTACAATGATGTAACAAATGTAGTATGGCAAATACATTTTTAGCCAATCTGAGACACCTGATTTTCAAAATTTTCTGGGGTACCGTGCCCCCAGATCCCTGCATAGTAGTGCTCTCTAGTAGTTCCCATTTTTTGGCATCTGTAAATTTACCTTAGGATCAGTCCCCTGATGTGTATATAGTATGTTATCTAAATTAGTTTTATGTTATATACCTTAAAGGCACAGTTCAGCCTTTTGAACGATGGTTTTTAAGGCGCATTTGAGCCCTTTTAATTGAAAAAACTAACTAGGAAAATCAATTAAGCATAATTCAAAATCAGTAAACTCGATGTTTTTATCAATATAAATGTTTTAAAATGTTAAAAACGTTAAGTTTGGTGATCTTGAATTATGCTTAATTGATTTTCCTAGTTAGTTTTTTCAATTAAAAGGGCTCAAATGCGCCTTAAAAACCATCGTTCAACAGGCTGAACTGTGCCTTTAAAATATTGCATGACATTAAGTTTGACAACTTAGTGTAAAGTTACAGTGTTCGCGAGTGTCGATTTACTTTGTTATTGGCAGAAAATTTTTTTATGTTCTTTTGCGGTCCCAGAAAGTTGAATATTTCCACCCCTGGTACCCATGCAGTTAGTTTGGAAATTATTAGCACAATATTGACAAGAGGATCAAAAGCCTCGTTTCACGCGCGGATTTACAATTCGTCTGCGTCAAGCCGGTTTTCCACTAGCGAATTTTCTCGCGCGAAGCGACCTTTTTCCTTTGTCGGTATCACTTATTCCTTTGTCGGTATCACTCAGCAAGACGTGGCAAAATGGATGCCGACAAAGGAAAAAGGTCGCTTCGCGCGAAAAAATTCGCTAGTGGAAAACCGGCTTCAGTGTGAATCCGGGCGCTGTGCGTCCACAGTGCGCTTGTGGGTGTGTCCTGTGCGTACAATGAACAGTGTTAATTTAGTGCTCTACGCTTGACTACTTATATTTTGTTGCTTTTGTTAAAGCGAGCCTTTGTTTATCGGGTTGGCCTCGAGATTTACAGATCTGGAAGGCAACGGACGGTAAATGCAGTATACGTTACTGACGAATACAGTGTAAACTTGTACAAACACCCGTCACAGGACAAACGCCAGGCAAAGAAAAATTTTGTGTTATAAAGCATGAAATCAGAAAAATGGCGTTGAGCGTTGAATAAGTTGCGTTAACACTATAATCATAATGTAAAATAATTGTTTTAACCAAAAAGATATGAAGCGACGAAGAGCAGATGAAAATACTGCCAATATAGTCTACCTCTGCCGTAGACTGCGAGCGCGGTCCCTCCTTTCCGCTGGTCTGCCGTTTCTCTCAGACTTGAAATATAAACTTCTCTATATATTTATTTAGAATAAACGTTTTCACATTCCATACAACCTTTCAGCAAACAGCTACTTATGCATTATATTCAAAACTAAACCTTACAGTAACTATATATAAACTTACATCTTCCGGGTCTAAATGTAAATCTTTGCATAACTTTTGAATTCCGTCTGGACCAATTATATCTGGCTCATCTGAAAGGAACGAAATGTTACACACAATATCGTGGGGGTTGATCGTGCCATCTGCATTTATTTCTGTTTTTTTGTGCTTATATTTGTGAGAACAAAACAAAATAAAGCTTTGCAATTGTACCTGCATATTCCTCAAACCAAACTTTGCACTTTTTCACTGAAAATGGTTTTGAAATATCATCTCTTTTACGACTGGTTTCACTATAAATAAAGATAACAATAAAAAGGAATTGAAAATTGTTAAATTATTGTTAAGTTATAGTGAGAGGGATGTTTATAGAAATAATTTTCGCCTTCTTTCGAAGGAAAGATTGATTTGTTGTAGTATTTGCCGCGAGCATTCTTTACGAATCCTGCTAACAACTGGGAATCCCCTTCCTTACTATTTTACTCCGACAGAAAGGGTGAAATATATTTCAATCCTCAACACTAACAACAACTTTGGCGTTTTAAAAATTGCAATATTATAATACTTAGACTTAGTCCTTTATATAGCGCGATTATCATGCACTGTATCTTAAAAACATACTTATAACCAACCTGGATTTTTCAACTTTAGCTTTCTTAGCTGCAGTTTGATTTTCTTTAGCTGATTTTCTTTTTCCTCTTGGCGGCATTGTAAATTCTAAGTATATAACAAATAAGTATAATCAGTACATATTACACAGTCACCTTTTGAGCGATCTTATTTAATGGCTGTAATATAAAATAGTGCATGAATAAATTCAAGTTTGCAGCGTGTTAGCCAGAATATAAAACAAAATTCGATTCAGACCCGAGTGTAAGAAATGTCCCCCAATTACAGGGGACATTTTTAAACTCTGGCCTAAATGTCCAGCTCCTTAGAGTAATTTTTGTGGCCTAGCGCAAGACACTGACTGGCTGAGCTAAACTGAAACATTTAACATGCAAATCAACTGACATTTCGAGACATTGTTTTGCGTACTAAAAACAGACAAATATAGATGGCAATCTCACAAGTCACAACACTGATTTGGTTCCCAATTCTTCTCGAGCAATTGAACAAAGTTTTGAAGTTGAGCAATCTTATATTATTAATTTTTTTTCATAATTGTTATGCTATTTTTTACAGATCTACAGTCAGTAAATTGGAAAACTGCTGCAGAATGTTTTACTGTACCTAACAGCCTGAATTGATAGGTTAAATAAAACCGTTATTTTACGATGTTGTGCCCATTCTGTCATAATATTAAGTAACATCGCTCAAAAGGTGGACAACTCAAATAGTGAAAAACTCCGTTATACATACTGTAGTTACTATTTATCTAATCATATAGTACGACTTCCAGCTGTTGTTCAAACATTTTATGACATTTATATACTGTATCATTCAACTTCGTTTTCAAAATATGGCTGCCAGGGTTAATTTATATAGCCCTACGGCATAAAACCTACTCGACCCTATAGGGTCTAATATCAGACCGGAAAAAATGTTTAATGTTTCAGAATTTGCCTATTCATATTTTGAACAGGGGAACAAGTGAACCGCCACAATCTCCAAATAGTTTAGAATAATGTAGTGGTTTAGCCTTTCCCACGCCGCCATTTTTGGTGGCATTTCAGCCGAAGTCTGCGAGATAAGTCCACATAACAGCGACTTTTTATATTTTTTTTTGGACGAATGATGGTAAATTTGCTTTGTAAATGGTTAGTTGATTTTGAAAAATTGCTTTTCACATTGTTTTAATTGTCTGCACTGGTTAACGAGAATTACATGCCACCCAAAAATGGCGGATATTCGTCATCGTGAGAAAGGCTAATTGTAGTTTTCCTTCCAAACAAACGTTAAGTGAACTAACACAGAGGTCAATAGATATTTATATGATAACGGAAAGAAGTCAAGCGCTTTCACTGGTCGAGAGTCATGATCTATTAGAGGCAGTGAAGATTAGAGGAGAGAGGCACGGAATTACGTCACGGCGTCTCGTGCGCGACTTTCTGTTCTTCCCACATTATGACGTCATACTGTGTATCTAGAAGTGAACAGACAACGGCAAAATTTTATCTGTTTGTTAAATCTTGACTAATAAGTGAACAGCCGGGGAGTAGGCGATGCCTGCATGTAGTCAAAACTACAATATACCAGACGACAAGAAGTCCATTATGACGTCATACTGTGTATCTAGAAGTGAACAGACAACGCAAAATCTTATCTGTTTGTTAAATCTTGACAAATAAGTGAACAGCCGGGGAGTAGGCGATGCCTGCATGTAGTCAAAACTACAATATGTCACACGACAAGAAGTCCAGAACAAAACATATAGTCGTAAACATAGAGGTCCATGTTACCATAAACAGTGGTTAAATATGGAGTGCTTGTTATGTTTGCCAGTTCCGTAATATGTTTGGCGGTTCCAAATTAGCGGGCAATAATAGTGAAAATTGTGAGCCGTCATAGTTCAGCTGTTTTTTAGAATGAAAATATGAACGCCTGCAGGGACAAAACACAACTTTGAGGTAGTGATGCGCTGACATGGAAATTTACCGGTATTCCGATAACCAATATTCAATTAAGGGCCGATATTGCCCGATACCGATATTCTATTTTGCTTCGAAACTCTGTAGAAACTTCATCATAACTATCAGTTGAAAGTGTCCAATCAACATTTATCCTACATGTATACATTTGAATATGGCTATATTGAATTTATATATTGTGACTCAACTCAGTGACCCAAATGTATCAACCAAATTGGAATCCAAAATATACTTTAAATTTAAAATATATTGTATAAATTTGTTATAACACAATACCGATAATATCGGCAACAAAATACCGATACTTTGAATTTAGGGCCGGTGTACCGGATATCAGTGCATCACTTATTAGGAGGGTTGATGTGTTAAATTATGTCGTACAGAAAGATTTTGCATTGGATTTTACAGTTGACAATAGCGGATACAATATAGGGCTGTCGAAATTAGAGTCCTACCAGACGAAACAACTGCTGATTGAAATGAACGAGTCATCAGCATTACGATCAAAACGAGCATGCAGCTATACCCTAAGAGAACACATAAGATCATGATCTGATGATCAGACTGGAAGTACACACGTTGATTGCCCAATTGGTCGGCACACAAATGCAGTAATTATGGCAGGAAATGTCTCTCGAGCGGCATTTGAGTTGGGGCAACCACAAGGGTGGTTGCAAACCACGGCGCAAAAATCAAAAGGAAGGGCATGACATATAGACAAAATCTCCCCTGCAGGGTGCGATAATTCATGACTTTTAGCCGTACCTTGCTGGTACGCCAATTAATAGTTGTTGCCGCGTACTAGAGCTGTTACAAACTCAGTACTCAATGTGTATTTAGTCATTAAAACAAGGTTCATAAAGTACAGGTTTCTGAAAAAGTATGTTCAGACTACGAACTAGAAAAAAAAGCACAATTGCATGTACAAACAATCGACTCCAACGTTTCTTCGTCCCATCAGTTCAATCACGTTTCATGCCAAACATATCAGAGTTCCGCGTACCTACGTGGCACGTCGCTGAAAACAAAGAAGTTACCTCCGGGAATTATCGCGCACCCTGCCACCCGAACCCAAAATAAGCATAAAATAAATGACAGTGAGTTGACAACAGCCTATAAAACGACCCAATAAACATATAATTACCTAAAACGAGACTGGAATGACCTAACAATGAACTACCCACTGACCACTGTACAGTGACCTAGCTGGAACGACCGATCATCAACAAAAAAAAAGAAAAAAGAAAGTGTAGACAATTAATTTTTATCTGGTACATAATGGTACTGCGTTAGCGGATAATGCATTAGATGTAAATTGTTGTGGTTTTCGTTATTTTATTTGTAGAAACTGATAATCAGCAACATTCAGCCTGATCGGTTATCAACTGATAACATCAATATCTACTGTATCAGCTAACGACTGTTTTTGATTAACACCATGTTGCTCAGATGCTGGCTTCATCTAGTGACATTTTCCTTCTTTTATAATCAAGAAACTTATTTATAAAATACTTGTCCATGTATATAGCATTACACCTTAGGAAATTACACCAACAATAATACCTCCTTACTAGCCTTTGAACTGACAAAGGATCCCAGCTTTGAATAAGGGATGCACACAACTTCTGCTGCTAGATGCTGAATTGACAAAAGTGCATATACGGATTGGGGAGAGATTATGTGGGGGGGGGGGGATGGAGGGATTAATTTGCAATAAAGCAAACTTTTCTCCTGCTTAGAAAAGTGTTTTACTCCAACAACCTTAAAAGACATCTTGTTTAAAATTAAAATGCGTGAATATGAACCTCTGTCTAGCAATCCATTCAACAATGGTGAGTTTGGTCCAGACCTAGAGACTTTGTCCTCGAAAAGCTAGCGGACCTGATGGTATCCCAAACTGGTTGTGTGAAACGTATGCCGAGATACTCGCAAAACCAGTCTGTAATATTATCAATTCTTCCTTTGATGAACAGAGATTACCATCAATGTGGAAACATGCTGACATCATCCCAGTCCCGTAGGTAAAACCAGCCACTGATGTCAACAAACATTTGCGACCGATCTCCTTGATGCCGTCGATCTCTAAAGTCGCAGAAGAATTTGTGATCACGAAGTACATAGCGCCTGCTATATTGAATACATTAGATCCGGATCAGTACGGGGCCATACCAAAGTCCTCTTCAGTGCTTGCCCTAATCTCAATGATCCATGAATGGTCCCAAGCTACAGACAAATCTGGCGCAACAGTCAGAGTAACTCTCTTTGATTATAGAAAGGCATTTGACCTAGTTGACCACTCCATTCTAATTAAAAAACTTCAAAACCTGACGTCATTACCCCGAAAGATGTGCTCCTGGATAACCCACTTTTTGTCCAACAGATACCAAGCTTGCCGACGCCCTTTTGTCATGGAGACACGTCCCCTCAGGAGTACCCCAAGGCACCAAGTTAGGCCCCTGGCTATTTCTCCTATTGGTGAATGACCTACGTGAACAGCATCAGTACGTGGAAGTTTGTTGACGACACGACAATCATTACAAAGAATTCCCTTACCCACACTCAATCCGCTGCCACGTCTGTTGAGAAATGGTCAACAGACAACAAACTGCACTTGAACGCAGAAAAATGCAAGGAGCTGAGGATCGACTTCAAGCGTGTTCACCAAGAGTTTGACCCGATTAGAGTAGACAACGTTCCACTCAAAATAGTGGACCACGCAAAAATCCTGGGCCTGATAGTCTCGAACTCATTACAATGGAACCTCCATGTCGAGCATGTCATCAAGAAAGCGAAAAAACGTCTGTATTGTCTGGTTCAACTTAAACGTGCGAATGTTCCGGAGCAGTGGCGTGCTGGCAGGGGGGCCACGGCCCCCCCAGCTGGCAATTTTTGGGGGGCGCAAAAATGAAAAGGGGGCGCCGATCCTGCGCCGAATTTTGAAAGTGGGTGGGAAAAAAAACGCATTTGAAAAAATATAGTTACTTCCACCAAGAAAAAATGTGTTTATAGGCTTATAAACAGACTGAGCGCATAGGCGACAAAGTGATATATACCTCACACGAAATCGTTCATATAGAAACATGATCAGTGATCACACGCAATGTCGCATTACCGGAATATTGGCCAGGTTTCGAAGCGATCACGGGAATTATACCCTTTTTTGCTTGTATTATGCCCTTATATTATGCCTTTATATTGCTTCACGAATCACGAGAGCGGCGCAAATTAGATAGTTATGATAATGTAAAGTTGTGTACGCAATTTAGTTGTTTGAACAAGAAACATCATAACTCATCGAGTAATGTGAGTAGTAAGATAATGCTGAAACGCGCGCCCTTTTGGCAGCCAGGCAAGGAAACCTTAAACGGCATGGTGTACCACTGACATCGACTCGCACCGATGTGCAGATGAACTGCTCAACTTTGAAGAATCTTTTCAAAAATCGAAGTGTTCAGTGATTTTTGATGAAGACCGAAAGAAGAAGAGAAAGATTCTGATTTAGACTCCGGTTCTGAATCTGAAACCGAAGACTACGAAGAAGAAACCGACATCGAGTCAAGCGACGACGGAACTGCTGAAGAACCAAAGGACAAGGATAAACAATCATTTCTAGAAGCTCTGAGAATTTTGTCGAATCCTGATTACCACCTAGTTGATGCATTTCCAACTCTTTGTAAAGTTTACGCGATCGCAGTTGCAATTCCAATCAAACCCGCACACGTTCTTCTTTGTCTCAAGAAAAACTTGAAGCATTGCTACTTATGACCGGCACTGAACGGAAGATTTTAATGTCTTTGAAAAAGGAGCAGATTATTACCGCCTTGGAGGTCTGACATCAGAATTGTCGAAGGCGCTTATATGAAAATGTTTAGAAATGCTATAGAAATCGACAATGGTTATTGAAACATTAAAAACATTGGAGAACATCGATCGATCGATATGGGCAATACTTGACGTTATCAACATTCGATACAACACGTGAAAAATAGTACTAACTATCAAGTGATATACTGTATAGTATTTTAAAACTCTTTTTGTATGTTTTGACAAAAAAAACATGACAGATTCGTATGAATAAAGTGCAAGCACACCGTTTTAGTAAAACATTACAAGTTATTAGTGAGATCGGCGTTTATTATAAATCAAAATATTTTATACAAATATACTCAACGAGTGACTTTATTCCTCCACAATTAATCTAAAATAAAGATTTATAGTAAAACTGATACCGTACCAATTTAAGTTCCTCTACGGAAATTCTAACCAAATTGCAAATTTCGACTCGTTATAATCTCGTTTCCTGACCATCAGATTTCTGTCAAATCTTCCCCCCAAAGTCCAGGAAATGGCATTTCAGAGA